ACAGAAGTGAATAGATGTCTAAATATTTTTTTTCCTACATGCAGGTGACAGGTAAACTAAAAAGTAGAAAAACTAATTACTAATCATAATTATCCATTATTATTGACAAATCAAATGTTTTCGCCAATGAAAAGTATTAGTCAATGAAATTTATAGAATTGCAAGTTTTAAAAATGTCTAGATGCGGTTGTTTTTAGAATGCTTTCATCACATCTGCAAAGTACCTCTTGCTCAATTTCTTTGAACATGTTTTAATGTTGCTTATGTTTTTTAGTACGGTATTTATCTGATCCTTTTTGGCATTTGGCTACTCGCTGTCATTAGCTTTAAACGTCTTGCCACCTTTTTTAGGAGAAAGGTGGAGTAAATATATTTTAAATAAATAGTATATTAATTTAGCAGTCTTTCACACTAGTTGTCACTGTTAGATTAAATGTGGATACATAAAATAAAATTAAAATATACTGTATATGATTGATGTTTAAGTATAAGCGTCATGTTAAAAAAAAGCAGATCCATTGGCATAAAGCTGTACAATCTCCCAGTAGCTTTCGATCCCATTTTTTGATAAGATGGAATTGTTGTTACTGCTGCTGTTTCGAAATTAGTACTGTAAGTTGTTTGTTTGATTCGGTGTCTCTCTGTTTCTTTGGAAAAGGTGGAGATGAAGAGCAGCTTATTCAAAGGACCCAATTGAATTTGGAAAGCTGTGCCATAGACGTTTTTCTTCAGCTTTTCTAGTGAAGAAGGAGAAGAACTGTGTAGAGTCAGTCTGGGAGTGAGAGAAAGCTGTATTTTTGCCGGGGAAAGAAAATGGCCACCAAGTAAAGGATTGTGGGAAGCCGGGAGGCCAAGGGCGGAGGAAAACAGCCCGGAGAGAGAATGGATGGCGAAAGCTTGTCAGGATCTGTCCATATCAAGGTATCAAAAGGAGTGGGCAAGAACCTCATGAACTCATCCCTTCCAGAAGTTTTGGAAGGCTTTTATTTTATTTTAATTTTTTATCCTGCCTTTCTTCCCTATGAGGACCCAAGGCAGCATGCATATATATATAGATATATATATTAAAACGAGATGTTTGTTAAAGCAAATTAATTAAGATTTAAAATTATAATACATGCCTATATAAAAATGATCTTAAAACTTTAAATTTTGGAAGAGCTCCCTTGCCTCTCGGGCCCCCAGAACGAGATACGTTTTCATCTCCTGGGAGAAGGTAAAAATGGGGAGGAGGCCTTTGGCCCCTCCCAAGAGAGGGAGTTTTATAATGTGAGATCAACCACAGAAAAAGCCCTTTGTCGGGTCCTCATGTGCTTTTACGAGTGGTGGGACAAAGAGAAGGCTCTCCCCGATGAGGGTCTTAATAGATGTGGGGACTCGTTCAGGGAAACAGAGGATTCTCAAGGCAGGAATCCAAATCAAAGCAGATCTGACAGAGGGTTGTCCCGTTTTCTTGTGAATGCCTCCAGCCCTGGAGTGTTCAGAAGTTGGAAGGGGCCTACAAGGCCATCAAGTCCAACCCCTTGCTCAAGGCAGGAATACCATCAAAGCACGCACTCCCCCCCGCGCACAGCCTGTTTACACCTGTGTGCAAGCGCGCCCGCATGAGTACCCCCTGCTCCTTTGCGCATGCGCACAAGTGCACATGTCTGCGAGAGAGAGCGAGAGAGCGCTCCTTTGTGTATGTGCGCATGTGCAGGGTGGCTCCCGCCTTCCCCTGCCACTCTGCAGGGCTAAAAAGCTTGGGGACCACTGTTTGAGGGTATTAGCTATTCCACCCAATTTTGTATCATCTGCAGATTTGACAAGCATTCCCTGCACTCCCTCATCCAATTCATTAATAAAGATACTGAAGAGCACCGTGCCCAGGACTGAGCCTTAGGGTACCCCACTTTTTACCTCCTCCCAGTTAGAGAAGGACCCATTAATTATCACCCTCTGAATATGATTCTGTAGCCAATTGCATATCCACCTGACACGATCTATGCAGCTTAGTTAGCTTGCTAATCAAGCTTTGTCAAAAGCCTGCAGTATTCGCCAGGCTGGATAAAAAGGCAAGACGGCCAGGATGTGGCCCGCGGGCCATAGTTTGAAGACCCCTGCTCTAGAACTAAGATGCCACCAACTGCTTATCCAAAATGGAGTATTTGAGCTGGCCTTTAGTGGTCCAATATTGTGACGTCCAGGGAGACCTTTTTTAGTAAAGGCCTTACCACTGCCTTTTTGAGATAGGGTGGAATTATATCCAGCTCTAAGGAGGCCTTCATCACTCCCTTTACTCACTCAGCCAGTCCCCCTCTCATTGTTTTTATAATCTATGAAAAGTGAGGCTCCAGAAAACATATGGCAGGTCATACCTCTCAAAGTATCCTGTTCACATTCTCATATTCCACAAACTGAAATGTGTCAATTAAAAGGTGGGCAAACAGAAGCCAAGTTTATATCAGAGCACATCTGAGTGATTTTATTTGCAAAGTGTTCTAAAGCGATTTCATCTGCAAATTATACTAAAAATAATCCCAGTCCTTACAGGTTAAAGAAGAGCTGAAGGATGGGATCTTTGAGAGCTGGGAGTCCCGCAATGAGCCTGCAACGCCATGGGAAGACATTAAGGTCTTTCTGACCCATTGTGGGGGAGCCAACGAGGCCAGGCTGTGGGCTGGCCACTTCGTGCCCCGCCTTGCAGAAGCCACGGAGACCTTCCATAGCCTTCGCAACCGAGAAGGGTTTGGGAAAATTAAAGCAGCCGTTGTGATGAGATGGGTTTTTAAGTTAAAATCTTTTACGGCATAGGGGTTTTGTAATTAAGAAATAAGCCAGAGAGGTTCCATTTTGTTTCTTTGTATATAATATCTGTGCTATGCTGACAAGTTGTTTTCTAGGCGAGCAGAGGAATGTTATTCTGAAGGCCTGAGAAGGACTCTGTGTGATAAGATAGATGGAAATTGTTGTGACTCTTTGAAAAACCACCGTAACCCAAATAACATCTGCAGTGTATGAGAAAGAATTCATGTGATGTCACAGGACTGTTTGCCTAGTAACGAACTCTGATTGGATGACATCGTGGGAAGGTGCATTAGGCCCTTGCCAGTTACTCTTGAAAAAGGAACTTTTTACCTATGGACTTTGTCTTTCCAAGACCGACCTTTCAGTGATTCGTGACCTACATTTCAGCCATATGGGACTTACCCTGAT